GAATTCCTGGACTCACCTCTGGCAGCAATGAATATAACGGAACCAGTTATGTGTTAGATGACTGCTGGTTCCAAATTATATTGTTGTGCCTCTTGCAAATCTTCCATATTAACAAATAGAAGGATTATTAAAGAAGAATAAAATGCCCTATATGTTTAGCATCTGTAGTTCTTTTTTTTTAAAAAAAAGAAGAAAAGAAAAAAAGTCGTTTACTTTTGATCTGTTATGGATTGAAGTTATTTGATAATTGAGTACGACCATGACATATGAGTTAAGTCTTTAATATGATTCTAGCTGTACCATGTTGATTGAAAAATATTAGCTTCAATGTTTGGTCGTTTTTACTCTTGTTACTGATCTGCCTTTATGTTTCTCTTTTATCAATAATTAATATGTTATAAAAATTTAATTATGAATTTGTATCAGCGCAAAGAGCTTTGCAAGCTTCATGAGAAACTGGAACTGCAAAAAAGGAGTCTTTCTGAGACAATTGCAAATCGAAAGAAGTTCCTCTCAAGTCTCCCTTCACATCTCAAGTCTCTTAAGAAAACGTCCTTGCCAGTACAAAATCAATTGGGAGTTTTGCATTCTAAGAAACAAAAGCAGCATCATTCAGCAGAGTTTCTTCCGCCTCCTCTTTATGTGATATACTCACAGCTATTGGCTCAAAAGGAGGCATTTGGAGAATCCATTGATCTGGAGACCATAGGAAGCCTCAAAGATGCTCAAGCTTTTGCCCGCCATCAAGCTCAAAAAGACACTGGTAATAGAGTTGACATGTCAATTCTAGCAATTATTCAAATTTAATCAGATACATGCAGCTGGCAGTGTGTCTACTTAATTATGAAGTTAATCTGTCGGTAAATTTTTTATGGTTCAACTTCAAACTAGACCATTGCTCCAACAGTCAGACCAGCATTGAACTTTTTATTTTTATTTTTTTTATTTTTTGGGCGGGGGGTGTTATCAGCAGCATCAGGTTTCAATGTTAGCAACGGGAAGGGATTAGAGGAGAGGCAGTTTTATTAACATTATCTTGTTTTCAAGTACTGCCATTTCAGTACTAATCTTTGTTTCATCTTTTATTGGCTCAACAGTAGTAAGCATCTTCAATGCCTTCCGTCTTTCTTAATTGTGCATCCCACATAGCTTTGGGATTGTTAAAATGTCGTATTTTAATTGTGGTCCTGGTAGAAACTCGATAGAGAGAAAAAAAATAGAATGAGGGGTAGAGAGAGAACGGAGAAAGTGGGCGAGTGGGTCTTTCACAATCTGAATCTAACGGTAGAAGTAGGAGAATCTCCAAAGTTTTTCTGAGTATCACCTCATTCATGTCCTTGGCAGAATACCTAATATGATATTTATATTTATAGTCTGACACAACAACTGAAAATAACTACCGTGCCCCCTGCATACATGAAACTGGCAATAACATAGTAACCGACACAAGACACTTGTAATGGTTAACGCAAGACACATAACATGGGCCACGTGTAGACATAAAACTTAAAACACAAATATTATAATATCTAATCCTAGATTGAGTCTCCATCTGAAGTGGGGCTGCCACACTTCTTCCTAGAATAAAACTAATTAAGGACATTGGTTCCTATTGGGTTCCTTGTTCAAATTTGACATTAATGTTGTCTTCTACCCAAAACAGAAAATCCAGGAGTTTTATGACATGGTTTTATTTACTTAGGCATTCCCCCCACTGTGGAAAGTTCCAAAATAGATGATGATGCACTTGATGAGGAAGAAGATGGGCAGAGGCGAAGAAAACGGCCAAGGAGGGTTCAAGGCAAGGAAAGCCTTGATCAGGCAGGAGTATTTCAAGTTCATCCACTTAAAGTCATCCTCCATGTGTATGATGATGAGAATCCTGATCCCAAGTCAGCAAAACTCTTTACTCTAAGATTTGAGTACTTGGTGAAGTTGAATGTGATTTGTGTTGGAATTGAAGCACCTAATGATGATCCTGAGAATGATATCTTATGCAATTTGTTCCCTGATGACACAGGTTTTGAACTTCCTCATACGGTATGGATATCTACTTTGCATGTCATTGGCTTATTCTTCATTCTACCTGACTTGAACTGCTAATTTATGTCATTACATTCTTTTTGAATGTAATTCAGTCAGCCAAGCTATCTGTTGGGGATTCTCTAATGTTCAATGGTTATAGAACTTCACGACCTTATAAATGGGCGCAGCACCTGGCAGGTATTGATTTCTTGCCAGAGGTGTCTCCTCTGCTGCTATCTGGCTGTAAAGCATTAGGCAACAGAACAAAGAATGAAGATGTCACATCTGGGCTTTCTCTTTATCGCCATCAGAACCGGGTACAGACAGTTCTAGAGAGGATTCGTTCCCGTAGAAAAGCTCAGTTGGCTCTTCTGTGAGTTGCAGTTCTGTGTTTTAAAAGTTTTATAATATGAAGGACCCTCAGATATTCAACGGAGATAAAATAAAATACTATAATGTTGTCAATTTAATCTTCTGCTATAGTGACAAATGGTCATATCCCCCCCCCCCCCAATGCATTCTGCTCATTTAAGATTGTTTTCAAATTCAACATATCATTCTAATTTGGGGGACCTCCCAGTTTGTGCGTTTGTTGTGTTTGAGCATACTATAGTTAAAATTTGTTTACCGTTGCTGGCTTACAGGGAGCAGCTTGAATCTCTTGGGAAACTTGAGTGGCCTCTTCTATCCTGCAAAAGCGTTCCATGGGCTATGCACACTCCTGCATGCAATTTGGATGTTTGGTCACCTCTAAGGTCCATATCAAACGAATCTTCATCTCTGGTGGTTGCAGATAAGCAGGAGCACAGTCAGGAACCAATGGATGTTGATGCAAGTGAGAAATCTGGTGCCACAAAGGAGGAACCCGAGGGTACAAGGGAAGATGGGGAACTTCCATCTTTGCTGCCTAGCATTTCTGTTGTAGGTGATGTCAAGCCACCCTATTCAAAGGGGTCTAGTCTCGACCATTCCAAGCAACTGAGTTTAATTTCAAAAAGCATCACTCCCCAGCACAAGGTTAAATCACGAAGTTTCAAGAACTTTGATGACAACTCTGAACTTTTGCTAGATGCTGACAGTGATCTTGATGAGCCAGCGCAAATTGAACCAGAACCTGAGGATATGGCATATGATCATTGTTTCAGAAAGTCTGAGATTTCATGGACGGATTACGGGGTCAAGGAATTTTGCCTTGTTCTTGGTGGAAAAATCGGGGTGGATAAGAGGAGTGTGAATCTAGAAGCAAAGGTATGTGAACCCTTTTTCTCTCTGAATTGTCAGTTGTTTGTTTACTCACACGTTCACCCAGGTTTTGATTCTGATTCTTCCTACAGATCAAGATCAGTATGGAGTATCCTCTTAGGCCTCCTCTTTTTGCATTGACTCTTAGCCTTGGATCTTCTGGGAAAAGACATCAGGATAAGGATGGCTTGGACTGGTACAATGAACTTCGTGCTATGGAAGCTGAGGTGAGTAACTGATGTTCTTCATGAGAGGTATCATTGCAATAGAATCACCAGACATATTAGGTATATGAATCTTTGAGGACGGGATTCATTGTATGGTAATGTGATATGGTGTTTTAGCTCATAATTACCGCGATGGGTGAGCCAGATCTTTGATGCCCCGCGCTCATCCTATCTAAGAAAACAGGAAACGAGAAGAAAACCATCTGCCGTGATAAACCTGCAGATTATTGTCGGCTTTCTTACTGTCTTTCATCTCTCCTTGTAGCGATATTCATGTTTCCCTTGTCTCACTTGTAGGTTAATCTTCACATGCTAAGGGTGCTACCTGCAGAGCAACGAAATTATGTATTGGCTCATCAAGTGCGCTGTCTTGCTATGCTGTTCGACTATCATTTAGAGGAAGCTTCCCCACCATCTGGAGGGAAAAGTTGTACCTCTGTAGTTGACATTGGTCTATGCAAGCCAGTAAATGGTAGGTTCCTGAATAGATCTTTTAGAGGAAGGGACCGAAGGAAGATTGTCTCCTGGAAAAACTTTGAATTAACCCCCAACTAATTCCAATAGTCGAGGTCTGGAGGCGGTAGTCCTGAAGAGGATGTACGTTTTGGTCCCGTTTGATAAGAAGTATTAAAAATGAGGAATTGGAATTGGGATTGCAATTAAAAAAAATTATTAAAATAGTATTTAGTAGGAGTAATTGTTTATTATATGGGATTAGACAAACCCATAAAGTTAAAATTGAGGAATACCACTTTCTCCTATAATATTTTCTAATCTCACATACATGGGTTTAACCAATCCTATATAACAAGCAATTTTTTATATTAAATACTCTTAATAAATTTTTTCAATTACAATCCCAATCATAATCTCTTATTTTTAATGCTTCGTACCAAATGTAGTCTTTGTGTTTATAGATGTGGCCTTGGGATATCAATTTGCTTACCGCACAAGAAAACAGCTGTGGCTGTGGTAGCGCTTAGATGGTTCAACTGGACCAGCAAATAGGCAATGTTTAACAAGTGGGTTAGTGCGGCAACATATTTTGGTTTCTAAGAGGAGCCAACTTTGTGAATTTTTCTCAAGATCTTGTTTTGCGGATGCTTTGGAGACTACGATGCAGGATTTTCTTTAATACTACTCATTTTAGGTGTTCAAATTTTATGCTAGGTTCTTCGTACAGAGTAGTTGATTGTAACATTTATTTTGACAGAATCCGACTAAGTAATAATGAGATGTTTCTCTATCATCTGAAACTTGAAGTCATCTCATTGTCATGTCTGTATTGGGTGTGCGTTTTACGGAGGTAATATGTTTGAAATTGAGTCATATCAACGTTGCTTGGAAACCCTTTTGACGCTTCCATTACAATTTTTTGGCCATTAATAGTACCGATTAATTGAGGAATTCAACTAAAATGCACAAGGCTCAGAATATTTCAGACCTTGCGTACTACATACGTTTCAGCAAGTCAGTCGGTAATCTCATTCACTAAGAGAATTCAAATTCATTACTTCAGAGAATTCATACTCATTTACTATGTCGGAAATTGCATTGATTTCATTTTTACAATACCCACCACAAGCCCACCTACCAGCGCGACATTAGGCGGTGAATTATGAGTGCACCGGGTAACCTTTTAGGGCGTCTTCAACGCATACGACAGGATAACACATTTCTGGCTGAAACAAGTGGTTTCCGCTTTCATGCAACTAGAAAAATGACCGCCAGATAACACGTTACTTTAGGCCACTCTGAACCACCAATTGTGCCACAACGGGTTAAATCTAAGACCAAAAAACTTTAATGTGCCCAACAAATACGTCCAGCGAGGAGCAGACTGCGCAAGATAGTAACAAATGGGCAACGGTGGCACGAAGTCGGACGTGTGCTAAAACATATTCACACGATATATTTCTCACCCTTGCCTAACCACTATGGTGTTCCAAAAAGGAACCAGATATCAAACTTTGTGCTAATCTAGAAACTACCTATGAATCTACAACAAAATATGGTTTTATATGTATGTACATTAATCTAAGATACATGGCTTTCAACAGTGGAGTCAACGTCCGATTTTCACTCTACCATGGTCCAGTTTGTGTTCGTCTTAAGCACCTTTTCTTAGCCCCTTGCTGCAAATTCGTCATCTCCTTTACCTGAGATGTTACCAAAAGCCACAAAATTCAGGACAAAGGCATTATCAATCCTCACCGCATTATGAAATGCACTTCTAACACACATGGTAGAGAATAAACAAAGAGAAAAATGCTTTTGCCAGTCTCGGAATATTACAGTATGATAGGCAACATATGGCAAATATTACAAATTTGAAGCAGCAAGCGCTTCCAAGAAAGCCATCTCTACGCCATCACAATTTATCACGGGGAAAAGAAAACAGATGCCATATAATGCTTATCGGTTCGTATTTCAAGAAGATTTCCTTATTGATACATTTTTTTTACTGAAGCAGCTAATTCGGAACATTCTTTCTGCTTCACATGATATAGAGCGATCCTCAGATAATTATGAACTACATACATGCTAAAGCACGTTAGTTCTTAGTCACTCAGTGCATACATCAAACTGGAAGAATTCCAAATTGGAGACCAAACATGCAACAAGATGAACGGTAGAGATGACTTTTATAGCGGGCGACAATTAAGCAACAGGAAATCTAGAACTTAAATTCGGGCAACGCGATAATAAGCATATTTCCTTCTAGCTTTTACGTTTTCCTAAAAAGATCATCCGGTCAATTCACCAGTTATCAAGGAAATAAAACAAGTGGAAAAGAAATGTAACCAAAACATCGAAAGTCACCCAAATTGTATGGAAATTGTATTACAAATGAATCTCAGATCTTTATGCTAATATTAGAAAGTATAATTACGAAACTAAGCCATGGCAAGGGTAGCATATTAGTCGGCCACCGTTATGAACCAAACCAGCTTCCTGAATTCATCCTATGTTGAGAATGGCAAGCGTAACAACTTAAGGATACACATAAAAATCACTGAATGCGTACATATTCTATAAAAATACACCAATTATCCAATTTTCTGTAGAAAAGACATCATCATAAGTTGCAATGTTTTCTACCCCAGCTCTTTATCAAAACTCCTATCCATTGAAGTATCATTTATTTAGTAAAATTGCTCTAAGGAACCATTTGATACAGAATGGAAATGAGAATAGGGAATCTCCCTCACATAAACAGCTCTCTTTCCCCGGGGGGGGGGGGGGGAACCTATGCCATTGCCAAACACAACTAACAACGTTTTTCCTCACCTTTTCCTTTTCCTTAAATCTCTTTTTCAGGTACCAAATGCTGCCTAAGAGTAAGATTCAAGGGGAAGAAAAATAGCATGTTATATGCACGACTTTAAGACCATGTGTTAAGAACCGAGGTAATTAATGGAAACACACAAACACTCCACTGGACGCCACAAGTAAGTATCTCACTCGCTCACAGCAGCCAAATGGGAGAATCTCCAGAATTGATAAAATAGTATTATTCACTTGTATCCTAGCTTAAACAGGAGCTAGCATATTTATAAGCAAGATACAATAAGGAAATCAAGGAAATAACAAAATATCCCTACTTTATCAGGATAACATCAAAACCGAATTCAAATGAGTTAAGTGGACCTAGTGGACTCAAATATCGTTTAAAAGAGCCCTATTATTTAGCTAACAAACTGTGAGTTATTCAAAATGGAAATTAAATCTGAAACAGAAAAGATTTGGTCAAGATTCTTCCCTATTTCTTCTCCTTTGATAAGTTAGGATTCTATCATTACTTGCCCCTTTGAAAACCAACTAGTCCTCACGGCAGAAAGTGGGAAGTTCGCTGCTTAAGAAGGTCGTAATCCTCCCAACTTGATTCTTGGATCATCAATTCTAATATGCTTCCCTTCCAGCAACATGCCAATACTTTCTCAAGTTCTAATAACAGCTCGAAGTCATCAGAAAGTGGTAATTCTGCAGGAGGATTAGTTGGGGGTTGGTCATGGGCAGGACATAACAAGGAGACGTGAAAAACAAGGAGGATTCTAGTTGTAACAAGATGCTCAAGCTCATATGCAACAGGTCCCACTTTTCTAATAACCTTATAGGGGCCAAAGAAATGTGGGGAAAGCTTAGACTACTTTATATGAGCAAGAGAATGCTGTTTAAAGGGCTGTATGCGAAGGAAAACTGCATCCCCAATGTTAAACTCAAGCTCTCAACAATGTGAATCAACATAGGACTTCATTCGGTCTTGAGATTTCTTCAAATTAGCATAAAGTAGGCATAGCATATGATCTCGAGTCTCAAATTGATCAGCAAGCTCAGCAATCTGTGCTTCCCCTTTGGTGAATAGATGAAGGGGAGGAGGATCCCTACCATATACTACTTTGAAAGGTGTAGTATTAGTAGAGGTATGGAAGCTAGTGTTAAATGAATATTCTACCCAACATAGAGATCTACTCCAGGAGTGTGGTTGTTCACGAGCAAAGCACCTTAAATAAGCTTCTAAGTAACGGTTGACTAATTCTGTCTACCCATCCGTTTGAGAATGATAGGAGATGCTCATCCTTAAGTGGGTTTGGCTCAGTTTGAATAACTCCTGCCAAAAGGTGCTCAAAAAAGAGGGTCCCAGTCTAAAATGATTGAGCAAAGCAGATCGTGCAAACGAATAACCTCTTCACAAGAACGAGCAGCAGCAGATTTTGCAATATAAGAATTCAGTAAAGGAATGAAGTGACAGTATTTGCTCAGACAATCCACTACTACCAAGATGTTGTCATAAGAACCAGATTTAGGCAACCCAACAATAAAGTCCATAGAGATATGCTCCCAAACTTGTTCAAGTGCAGGAATGGGTTGCAAGAGACCAGGAGGGGATAAAGCCTCATACTTACTCCTTTGATAGGTAAAGTATTGTTGAATATAGGTCTTAACATCAATTTTCATTTGGGGCCAATAGACCATACCTGTCAAGCACTTCAATGTTTTCAAAAATAAACCATGACCGCCAGTAGGAGTACTATGCGCCTCTTCTAGTAACCTAACGCATAGTGATAACCTTCTAGGGATCACAACATGCTCATTTAAAAATAGTTTCCCATCTACCAGTGTATAACCCCGTTTGGAATTAGGATCTTCCTTCAAGGCAGCAATGATGGGACCAATGGAAGGGTCAATTAATAACGCTTCTTGCAATTCTAAAAAGTCCATTGCAATTGGTACCACTAAGTGAAGGAAATCAGCATGTTGAGGCCTCCGTGAAAGTGCATCAGCTCCCACATTTTCCTTTCCAGCTTTGTAAACAATTGAGAAATCAAATGGAAGGAGCTTTAGGATGAGGCGCTGCTAGTTATTAGTGAGAACACGCTGGTCAAGCAGGTGTTTCTGGTTGTGATAATCTGTTTTCACTATAAAGTGACACCCTAGCAAATAGTGGCACCATTTTTGCAAAGCCAGCACTAATGCTAACAATTCTCAATCATAAGTAGACCGGTACCTATTTGAAAATGACAATCCTTTGCTATAAAAAACAATAGGGTGATGTTCTTGCATAAGAATGGCACCCACACCCTCCATAGAGGCATCACACTCAACAGTAAACTCAGAATTGAAATCCGAAAGTCTAAGCACAGGTGCAGATATTAAGGATAATTTGAGCTTTTCAAAAGCCCTTTGAGCAGCAAGTGACCAAACAATAGCATTATTCTTAACTCAGTAAAGGGACGAGCAATCATACCATAATTCTTAACAAACCTTTGGTAGTGACTGGTGAGTCCCAAGAACCCACGGAGCTCTATGACACTGGAAGGTACTGGCCATTCTCAAATTGTGCTGATCTTATCATAATCTGTTTCAACCACTTGAGCTGAAACTCTACGCCCCGAGAAGAAAACTCGAGAGCACCCAAGTTCACATTTTTTGAAGTTGCCGAAATACGAATGTTGCTTTAATGTTTGGAAGACAGTCCGAAGGTAATGCTCGTGCTGTTGGGTAAAGGTACTGTATACCAGAATATCATCGAAGAAAACCAGCAAACTTTTCTTGAGATATGGCCGGATCGTTCATAGCAAACTGAAAAGTCGCAAGCTCATTGGTAAGGCTGAAAGGCATTACCACAAATTCATAATGCCCGTTGTGTGTCCTGAAAGCTGTTTTATGGACGTCAGTCTCTAGTACCCTAATCTGCTAATATCCGGAGTGTAAATCAATCTTTGAAAAGTGAGCTGCACCATGTAATTCATCCAACAACTCGTCAATGTTGGGGATCGAATATTTATCAAGTACAGTAACCTTGTTGAGGGCTCTGAAGTCAATACACATGCACCACAAGCTATCCTTCTTTTTTACCAACAAGACTGTATAGGCAAAAGGGCTAGAGCTAGGCTGAATGAACCCCTTGTTCAAGAACTCTTCGACCTGTCACTCAATTTCATTTTTTTGGGAATAAGGATAACAATAGGGCCTCAAGTTAGGTGGCCAAGCATCAGGCAACAATGGAATGGCATGGCAATGCTCTTTAAAAGGTGGCAGTGTTTGGGGTTTGTCGAACAATTCAACCATTAGTTCATCTAAATTCAAAGGACTCTTGCTGTCTGCTCCCAATTTAAGCTCAAATGCGAACATCATGGAATGGAGCTCAGCATTCTGATTAGAATGAGGTAACCCCTACAGCTTATACCTTTTCCTATCAAGCCAGAAAATCAACATCTCGTTCCAATTTGCTTAGATAGTATTAAGAGAAGCAAGCCATTTTAATACCCAGAACTAAATCAGAACCAGTAGAAGAGAATGGATAGAAATCCTGTTTGAGTTTGAAACTTGCTAGTTGAACCTTGATATCTCTACAAATAAGATTGCAGCGTACTATTCTACCGTCTCCAATCTGAACCCCAAAATTGGAACTGAAATAGTCGGTATCTTTAATTCAACTACCAATGTATCTGAAATAAAGTTATGCGCGGAGCTACTCTCAACTAGGAGCAAAAACACTACAGTCCTGGATGGAACCACAGAGTTTCATTGTTGCAACAGTGGGTTGGCCCAAGATTGCATTAAAGGGCATCTCAACTTCTTCTAGCTCTTACCCTTCCTCTATGGCATCCAGTGCCTTAGGTACAGGGTTCCCTCTTTATCAATTTCCATTAGAGAAAAAGAAAAGGCGTAATGATGACCCAGCTTGAAAATTTCTCCACAACGAAAGCATAAACTTTTATCTTTTTGTTGTTGCCTCACCATATCCCAGGTGCTCTATTTTGGTAGGTTCGATGATGATGCTTTGGCAGGCGTGTTCTACGAATTCCCAGGTATGAATTGCGAGCTGTAGGCGATGTGACTAAGCAAGCTTTATCACATGCAAAATGACCTAAAAAAATGGGTTGTGCAACTAGGGCCCCGCTAATAAAATCTTCTTCTCATACTCTAGGGCAAGACTTGCAGCACGTTACACTGTACGCAGCTTCTATATGTGCACATCTGATATCAGTTCGTCCTTCAACCCATTGATAAACATCACAAGGAGGCAATGCTTCGACCAGTTGGAAACTCGCGATGCCCTCCTAGCGAATTCCTACCCATAATCTTGTACCGTCCCTATTTGTCATAGGCATTAGTCCGAATTCATATATATTCCGGCAGCCCATAATGTTCCTGCAATATCTTGACTAGCTCGTCCTAATACATCATTGTTCTCTCGGAATTTACCCAAGAAAACAAGTCGAAAGCGTCACCTTCCAAGTACATGGAAGCTACATCTACCTTAGGGTCTTCCAGCGTCTCATAATATCTTAAGTATTTTTCTGCCTTGAGTATCCATCCCCTCGGGTCACCTCTATTGAATTTTGGGAATTCAATTTTGGTGTGAGGAGGTCTTAGCTCTCTTCTTTACACAACTAAATCATCATCACTGTCATCAGCCCACTGGGGTGTTCCACCTCTGCCACGAGTGCCTCAAGCTGTAACTTTCTCTATCAAAGCATCCAAAGCTTCAGATGGTCAAATGGTTGCTAACGGGTCTCTGGCAAAAGGGTTGTCCTCATTCAAATTGTTATTGCCAGAAGAACACGTCTCAACCATGGCTCTAATGCCAATTGTTAAGAAGCGAGGTAATTAATGGAAACACACAACCACTCTACTAGACCTCAGAAGTAAGTATCTCACTTGCTCGCTCACAACAGCCAAATAGGAGAATCTCCAGAATTGATAAAATAGTATTATTAACTCATATCCTAGCTTGAACAGGAGCTAGCATATTTATAAGCAAGATAAAATGAAGAAATCAAGGAAATAACAAAATATCCCTACTTTATCAGGATAACATCAAAACAGAAATCAAATGAGCTAAGTGGACCTAGTGGACTTAAATATCGTTTAAAAGAGCCCTATTATTTAGCTAACAAACTCTGAATTATTCAAAATGGAAATTAACTCTGAAACAGAAAAGACTTGATCAAGATTCTTCCCTATTTCCTCTCCTTTGATAAGTTGGGATTCTATCACCATGACACCTAGTTATTATGGTTAATTAATCTAAAGACAAGGCACAATATCGGAAATGGGGTGGTCAAAACAAACATATCAATGAAACAATGAAGGAGCAGTTTAATCCGGCCTATAAAAAAGAAAGTAAAGCAAGGGACAACTTACTTGATTCTCTTGCATCTCCATGATTTCTGCCTACAGTATCCAAATAACGGCCCATTAATAAAAATACGAAGGATGAAAGAAAACTTCTAATGGTTGTACAAATATGCATGCCAGCATCTGTTTCTGACAAGCAATTGCTAAACTTACCTGCTTCCTCTTAAGCTCTTCATTCTCCTCTTTTAACTTTGCAACCTCTGCCTCCAATTCCATGGTATAGGCCTGGGACAAGGGAAAATGGAAAATGGAAATGGGAGACTGAATTTGCAGTAAATATCTAGATACATACATGCATACATATATATAACTTATTATTTACTTTCTACCCATATTATGTCCAGACTGAAACCCAACTCAAAGGTGAAACGTGTTGAACTCATAATCAGTTTATGTCTTTTAACAACACAACGGTTTGTTATGTTTCCCGCACCGGATGATCCATTACCTTGTAATAACCCGGATCTTTACAACTTCTCATGACCGTAACTTCTCAAAATCTTTCCCTCATCCAGTTCAGATTGCGATCATATTACCATTCTGCTGCATAATCTTTCATGAACATACAGCATGTCCACAGAGGATAAAGGCAGAATGTCAATGGCTAGTAGGATTAGTAAATCAATAATGCAAATCCTCATATTGTCTTTTAACAACAACAAGCCTTATCCCACTTAAGCCAGCTACAAAAATCTCACCATGCCATTGTACTCTATCATCAACCAACTTCCTCATATTTTCTTTTAATTTTGAAAAAAATTGCTTATGCTATCAAACCGTCTTGAAATGACCTACACGCAACGTTGTCATAATTAGGATCAGGGGAACTCTTCTCTGATTCAAGTTATTGGAAGCACATCTACATTTACAGGCACAATTGACCATTGCCGGCCAGTAGATAGAGGGCAGCAGGCACTAGAGTTAAGGACATGCATATGCAGTCTTCATGGAATTTTACAAGATAAAAGCAATTGTATCACATCTTCCCTTGTATTTTTGAAATGGAGGGGCAAAATATTCATTCCCTTGCACCAATATTTCACGAGAAAGAGCAGATGCAGCAACCTCTGACTGCTAAACTTAGAATAATCATAATAAAAGAAAGATGCTGGGTTTCGTGCAAGGTGGAGAAGAGGATAAAATGAGGTTCCAAAACAAAAATTTACCTGCTTGCGAGCGCGGGACCGAGCAGCAGACTCTCTGTTTTTAATCATTCTCCTCTGCCTCCTCTCAATAACTTTCTCCACAGCTCCACTGCTTTTCCTCCCTCTTAAACCACCATTGAACACGTAAGGAAGGGGCGACACTGACGAATTGTCATCATTACTCTTTCCAATTTCATCGCAAGACAGCTGATTAGCTGGTGAGCCTGTAGCTACGCGAACAGCCCCAGGTCCTAAACCAACCATACCCATCCCTCCACTTTGCAGTGCAGAACTCTGAACCAGATTACCATTCAGACCCTGGTCCACAATACCCGCCATTCCACCTCTCATTCCCTGATTACCTAGCTGGTTGTTGTTCGTTAATGGTATCTGACCAGCATAAGGCATGGCAGGCTGCTTGGGAAATATCTGTGGCTGTGGTGACTTCGAATTCGGCAGCTGTTGCTGATTCGATCTAGCACCGTTTACATTCAATGGCAAATTGGTGCGAGACTGAAGAGATAGTTGGTCATTATTCCCTGTAATTTGGTTTGCCATTAAGCCAGTACCCTTATTCATCTGCTGAAAACTCAATCCTATACCACTATTATTTCCAGTACGAGATAAATCGGGGAAATCCCCGCCATTTGGCTTTCCCATCAACTGTGCTTGTGCATCTTCTCTGACAACCCCGGCTCTCACCAAGAACTCTTCCAACGTCATCTCTCCCAAAGTCTGCTGCCTCTGTGGCATGTTTGGAGCGTCCTTCCCCGCCGCACCATAGTCCTTGGAAATATCCTTCCAAACCTCGTCTACGGTTTTCTGGCTAAGTGTTCGCGGCAACGTCAAGGAGCCTTGTCTCTGCAAATGTCCGCCAGAGGCACTTCCACCCTGTTGAGCACTACTCAGGGAAGCCATTGTTTGAACCTCTTCAGCACTCCAGATGTTCTTGAGCAACTCATCCATATTCATCGACCCAAAGTCCTTCCCCGAACCTCCCATAGTACTCACAAACTCATCGAATGTCAAGGAGTAGACTGACGACTGTCGTACTAGTGGAAAATTTGCCGGTGGCCTTCCCCCGCCGGTGTTTCCGCCCCCATGGTCGTTTCCGAAGTTCATTTTAGTCCCGGTTTGGTAAAATCTGAACGAAACAGAATCAGAAGCCCATCCAAGCTCACACCAGCACAAATCTAAATCAGTAAATCCCCCCTCTCAATTCCACAATCAAGCACAGTAAAATAAAGAAACAGATTCACTATACAGAGAACCAATTGAGCAGAATTTACAATGAAATCCCACAGAACTTAAACTTCAGGAATCGAGTAGAAAGAGTTCAATTTGTTGTGACCGCATCAGAAATCTAAAATCTTCTAGTTCGGAAACAAAATTAGGCTAAATCCGCATGCACTAACCCCGAATCGGAATTAAAATGGTGGAAAATATTATTCAACCTGGTGTCCCTAACCAGAAAGCGAGTATCCTGATAAACACGAGGCAGTGTTAAGAGTGAAGACAATTTTCAGAAAAGACGAAACTAACAGGAAGAATTGACCCCAAAAAAATGAAAAAACGAAGGATATAAAAGAAACAGCAACGGAGTAAATAAGAGGGAACACGATAAGGGGGTTGAAGTAAGATCTCAAAACAAGCCAAAAGAGAAGTGTAATTACCTTAGTATATGTTCTAAAATTAGGGAGAAAAAAATTAAAAGTGGGTGGCGAAGGTGGGTGAAATGGGGAGAGGCGCCAAGTGTCGAATGTCCATAGCGGATCTCCATTTGGTTGGCTTATAAGAAAGACATAAGGTGGGGGGACAGTGCCCACTGCCGACATTGGAACGTGGACCAATTATCACAGGTCTGCAGGACTATGATGTGACGTCCACCCAATCAACTCCCTCTTTTTCCGTTGGAGAATCCTAGCCGTACACGATTCTTTCATCACGTTTCTAGTGGCGTCCCATTGTGGGCTCCTCCCTCCATCCCCAACTACTTAAACAATACAGTGATTTTTTCCCAAACAAGAAAAACGGGTTGAATTATATAAAAAAAATTAATATAATTTTTAGTTCCCCATTTTTATTTTAATATGGTCTATTTTAATATAGTTTCTTAAATTTCAAACAATAAATTTTAATCTTTCAAAAAATAAAATAGTTTAAATTTCTATTAGATTATCAAAACCAGTATGACAAATAAAAAATAAATTTAAGAAACTATAACCTATAATTTAAAATTTAAAGGATTAAAACAAGTAAATTTGAATGAGCAAAAATTGTAACCCTTATAAAAAATACTCCTCAATTTTACGATATGCTATGTAAATAAATTTTTAACCTTTTAAACTTTAAAATAAATTTATCAGGACTTTTATATTTATATTTATGACCACTTTAATGCTATTATTTTTGTTTAGCATTTATTTACGAATAATTTAAAATTTAAGAGATCTGTCTATGTATGTAACTCAAAGTGTAGAAGGATTACATACATGCATATAAAAATAAAATTTAAAGTTATCTGCATAAATTTTAAAAATTTAAACAGATTTATTGTAAAGGTTAAAAAACTATTTCATGTAATTTGCCCATTATTCTAAATATAAATTATTATATTTAAAATGAAATTTTTGTTCGTTTGGTTAAATTTATTTTTAGACGAGACAGAGAAATATAATTTTGTTTTGTGCAAAAATCATCATGTGTTATTTTTATATATATATATTATACTATCTTATATGCTAATTATTAAACTTTATTTATAATTTATAAACAAGGTTTTATAATTATTATTTTTTGTCAGAATAAGATTTTATAATTAAGATTGGAGTTACTAGAAAGCAAATATGATTGTTGAGAAAAGAGGGTTGAGTATAATTTAATGAAGAGGTTGACTGATGTTCCTCTGCTAGTGTCCGAAGAGGGCACTAATACTTAAAAAAAAAAAAAAAAAAAAACCCTTTAATTCAATGCTGTCTCTAAAGTATGAGAGCATACTTCATCTTAATGGGAAAGTTGAGTGAACACGTACGTTCAAGTGAGGAAATGGTACTCCCTCTACGCTTATTCTAAGAAATAACCATTAAAATTAAGCAGTGACTCAAAATATTAATTAAATATATTTAAAAATAATAAATGTATAAGATATCTTTTTAATTATATCCTTAAAATTAAGCAGTGACTCAAAATATTAATTAAATTTAGTTAAAATAATAAATGTATAAGATATATTTTTTTAATTGTATCCTTATTCATAAAGCAAAGAAATAATAAGTGATATGTATTTAATAGAGGTAAAAATAAAAATATAAGTTTAAAATGAGAGATAATGTTTGTACTACAATTTGTGAAAAAATATATTCATTTCATTGCCTGGTTTTTTTTTTTTTGGCAGCTGCCTCCCCTTGATTGGTTATTACAGTGATCAGTGAGTTCCTTCCACCGCCTTTTACGGAATAAAAAGGAACTATCAACATTTTTGCATATAAAATTTATTCATTTTTTAATATTAAAATTTTCAATGAATTTTTTCATTAAAAAAATGCAGAGCAAATAGCTAGTTAATACTAGCTTTAAAACATTTTAGCTTTCTCCAAATATACATTTCATTGAAAATAGTAACGTCTCTTAATCGTAGATGGATCAAATCAATAGGGTCAAGTGATTTTTATTATTTATTAAAGTATTTTAAATACAAACACATCAATTACCCTCAGTATTATGGAAAATGACTTATAAAATAAAACGTAAAATCCTTTTACAAAATAATTGATTAATCAACTCTTATATTAAGAATTATAAGTAATAAAACTTTAGGAGACATGGGATGTTTGTATTAGTTTTTTAAAGTATGTTAAAAGAATTTTATCTTAATTTGTGTGAAAATATTTTTTTTAACATTTCCAAACACTCCCAGAATGAAGGTTTATTGCAAGTTAGTTAAAATTTAAAATTATTTTAAACATCTCATGAGCAACAAAATTTAACCATTAACAATCATTTACCAGATAATAAAAGTCAAATTCTTGTTGAAAAGAATATTCACATTTAGTGCTTAACAGTATCTTAAATAGCATTACTCCTGGTAAAAGAGTATTCATCCTTAGCAAAACAAAAGTGCAAAATAAACTTAATTTTAGGAGGTGTTTAAATTAACTTTTTAAAAATGATTTTATGGAGTCTGATAAAAATACGTGAGAAAAGTTTTGGACTTTCATGAAAATACCTTTTTAAATGCTTAGAGTGTTTGCAAATACTCCCTTAATAACACCCAAAAACATGAGATACTTTAAAGTAAACTAAATAAATAGAGTATTACTATTGTGTTTGGAGATCAGACGTGTAGAGAACTTGACATGAGTTCTTTTCATATAAAATTTAACTAATAAATATCATTAATAACAAACTTATGAAGCGTATAATTTATTAAAAATGTTATATATCTCGACGGTGAAATATTTGTAAGGTGGCAATGGAAAGAAAAGGATATGTGGTGATTAAGGGGGAGCACGTGAGAGGGGAAAAGGTTTGGGAAAGCAAAGGCAGATATTTAGACCCATGAAACCATATCATTAAGAAGACATAAATATCTGTGTATGGGACGGGTGAGGAGCTTTTAATCTGATAATGTAAACTATATACATGGAATTACCCCGCTTGGTATTACGTGGTCAACGAGGATATCTGGTGACTTAATGGTGATGGCTTCAGTCTTATCCTCTTCCTATTTGTTTATTTTATTTTGGCCTCACTTACCTTTTCAAAAACTTGATTGCCGCAGGGTTTGGCCAGTCCGTCTTTATCCGCAAATTTGACCATTTTTAAGGTCGCAAAACAAAAATTTCGTTCATTTCGGAAATGACCAGGCATTCATCAGCGTTCATCCCAGCAGGTTAAAAACTATTTTACTATTTTTATGATTTTATATTTTTTCCCCATCACTTTACTAATATTAAACACAGGCACTTATATGCATCCATTCATCCATATATATATATATTCATGTAAAAATAAAATAAAAGTGCATAAATGAAATGCACGCTGACATGGGCAACGCGTAAGAGCACGCTCATGCCCATGAAAGTGGCCCCCGGGCCCCCCTTGTTTTTTTTTTTTGGTTTTTTGCAAGCGCCCCTCGGAATACATTGAGGGCATTAACGGCCTACGCATGAACCCTGGGGATGGACCCATGGGTTGGGCTTTGACATAATTATCATCGAAACAAAACATAATGGGTCGTCCAACTACTTACATTTAGCATAAACTATAACATAACCCTCCAAAGCTTCCCCTTTTTGGGCATTCTTAGGGCATTATGTTCTACTTTGTTCCCGACAATACATTTATGTGTGCGTCCACTAATGAGACTACAAAATGGGAATTAGCCCCTATTAATCCCCGGCCCCTCATGGACCCTTGGCCTAACCCCAGTGTTTTCAACATTTGCTACCAGCCTGCTCACCATTTATTTAATGTATAAGAAACTTAAATTCTACTTTCATATATTTGTTATAAGAAATTTCAATAACAATAGAATAAACACATTTTATCTTCATATATATAATTATTAAAGAACATAATACACGCACGGATAGATGGCTGAATCTAATCCTTTTCCTTGTTACGCCTCGTTAATATAGTTTTTTTTAGGTGAAATAATACTACTTCCGGTTCTTAGTATAAGACCACATTTGACTTTTATTTTTATCCTAAATATAACACACCAATTCATTTTGTCTCTAATATTTATGTATTTTTTTCTAAAATAGTTCTTCTAACAATAGTAATTCTAACTGATTAGCAATGATATTTTAGAAAAAATACATATTTATGACAAATAACTAACTTAACTTCTCTTCTTAATCTTCTCACATTAGTCAACTAGTTCTTATAATTAGGACCGAAGGCAGTATATTGTTTTGCTTCAAACTTGCTTTCCCCGCTTTGCAGACTCTACTGGTATTCAATAGTAAATACCGATTGCTGTTGGCCAACTGATGTCTTTTCCACTCACACAGAACTTGAATCTATCAGGAGTGGCAATTACAGCCAAATAATTTATGTATATAACACCTCCTTATATTTACTCTATTAAAATTATTATTTCAATCATATTTATTAATTCATGAATGGAGTTGTTGACCAACGAAAAAGAATAGGTACTTATATGGGAAGAAAAAAGAGAGAAGCTTAAAATGGAAACATCTTCAAAATTCAGACACCAATGACAGATGATCCATGTAACGGCTATTATTACCACTAGAACTGCAACAACATGTAAATATATATGTGTGTGTGTATATATATATTACACTAACAAATCGAAAAATCGCGGGCACGTTTTGATGTTCAAGTTAAGCCAAACCCGATTTAGCTGACAACTCGCGAGTGAGTAGATGCTAACTCTGAGCTGCAGAAACAGAGTCGTTGTCGGTTACATCTCCAATGGTACGCTCCTTGCTCAGAGGCACCATCTAAGAAAGAGCATTTTGAAATGGATGATACAGAGTTTTAGAATTCTGGCGTCCAAAACAAGAAGTCACACGTATAAAAACAAATTACCTGGTCATTGTATTTAGCTTCAGATTCCAGAGATTTCAGCCTTTTCACATTGCTGCTTCTCTCGCTTTCCTCTTCGTCTTTCACTTCGTCATCAACGAAGTTCTGATCTGACATCTCTGTACCAATCAGATCGCCTGATTAAAATATTGGTATGGAGGGAGCTGTAAGACATGGTAAAGCTAAGACAGTGTGTGGACCAAGGTGAATTAGTCACATGTGGATAGACTTTCAAGTTCAACATCTGAACTATCTCAATAGTAAGCAGATAGGGATCAACATTGCCATTAAAACCTGAGATAATACAGCAAATTTGAAAGATAAGTTTAACAAAGGAGGCAGAAGAAAATTTAAAAGCACCTGTATCATCACATAACACATCCTGCTTAGATGTGCGAGATTTACAGATGTGAATGTGCCCTGAACTTGTACGTGATCCAGAGACAACTCCCCTCCTCCGGCCTAAACAGGCAGCGTCCATTGTAGAAGTAGCAGTTTCTTCATTTGCAGGAGATGTCACACTTCCTTGTTTGCTTGAAGATCTGAAGTGTTGAATCCAAGGATTTGCATTTAGATCATGGCACTCATTAGCCCTATTTATATGAGGATTTTCTCTTTTAAAGTTGATGTTGCGCCAGCTGCCACCTCGAAGAACTTTGAACTGAAATGGATCAAACAATTAAGTCACCAAAAGAGAGATCAAATGCAAAACAGGTCTTATATGTAGACAAGAGTGGTCTTCAAATATTTAAGAACAAAAGAAACAGTACAGACCCGGCCAGAAGAGGCAGTGGAGGGGAGGGAAGCGTCTTCATGGAATCTCCTACCAAGAATCTGCTTGGAATCATATAACTGGTTCACAAATGATGCTTCCATGGACTTCAGATACATACTGTGTTTCTCATTTGTCCACTCTGCCGCCATTGACAGAGGTTCTGCCTCTGTTATGCCCTGAAATGAACACCAAAAAAATCAGCATTAGAGTTGAAGACCGAGGCAGCTTTTGAAGTGCCTTTTGTAAGTAAAGAGGCATTCCTCTGTAAACTTACAAGAAGGCAATGAAGGGTAACAATAAGAACATCATCAATAAATTACAAGCTTCTAATACATTTAAGACAGTTACTTCGAATGAAAAGGGTTAGAAGATATAAAGGGCCATTGTGAATGTTCTGGACAAAAAAATAGAGACCAACCCATAAGAGCTTTTACCAAATATAGAGTATAAGCACAACTAGATGAATTGTAGTCATCACTGTCTACTTTAATTCTTGTAAGTTCTATTTCTTTAATACAGCTCTTATAAACCCTTTTTCATGTTTCATACCGCATCCAAACTAATAATTAGGCTCATGCAGCAGTATGATACTTTTTCTTCTTAATCATAAGCGATATATAGACTCCTACCACGAGAATATTATAAGGTTAATATAAACCAAAATTTCAAAATCTGGATGATAAAAGAAAAGTAGTTCCCAAGTTTTTTGTTTTGCCAATAAAAAGGTTCCTAACTATTTAAAAGAAAACATACATGACATGTTTGTTTACCGAAAAAATTAGGAGGAGGAGGAGGATGTGCTATAAAATCCTTCTGCATTCACAAAGGATCGGAAGTGTCATGTCAAAATCCGGAGGGAAAAAATTATTGCAGCAAAATTACACCAACAGGAGAAATCTAGGTGTGATGCTTCTAAAAACGATTTTGAAAGAAGTTTCCGAGGTTTCTAACTGATAAGATACAGAAATAATATGAGAAATCTCTAATTTTGTTTCTAAAACAGAGACAAAAAGAAAAAGAAACATCGAACACGGGGGACTCTAAAATTGCATTTTGTTTAAATTAAAAAAAAATCATTTTGCAGATTGGGATTATACTGTTATTTAATATTTGTCATGTAGAATGTCTAAGAAAATTACATGGAAACGGCAAGAGTCATCGAAATGACAATAAGAAATCAAACCAAAAAAAAAAATAGAGTTGTCTTTATTTAAGATCAACGAAAGACACAATTTCATAGAATTGTGTTCTTCTGAATTTGTCTGTTTTCTGAAGCTATGACGAACCAATACAAAACCTAACAACATAGATAACTAAACTCTTTCAGATTCTTCAAAATCAGGCGAATCCCCTGGTCCGATGAAGAAGCGAGAAAAAAATTACAAGAGTGAAGAACGGAAAGAAGCAATTCGAAAGCAGAAGGAAACATACCTGCATGAGGTCAGGGGCAAAAGGCGCAAACTCGGTGGAATCGGTGTGGAGGGCGGGTGGAATCGTGCGAGTCCCTCTACGTTGGGTGCTCATCATGGGAAAGGAGAAGACTAGAAGAAAAGAATGGAGGGGTGAGAGGGGAAGAGGAAGGAGAAGCAGAGGGAAGAGGCGGGAGAGGCGGTGTTGGGGGAAAAAAGGAGGTTACAGTTGTCCGCACTTTTACACGTGTCGTGGGACCATCGCATCGCCACGTCATTGGATCGGACGCCAAGACAAGCGCATCTGATATTTATGGAACGCCCGCATCAAAAATATCTGTTATCAGTTATCCTCTCATTCAACAAGATTTCTCCCTCAATTATTCACCGGAATAAAGCATTCTTTTATATATCTTTATTTTAAAAATTGCATTATTTTTGCTTCAATTATTTTTTTGGCCAAAGCTTCAAATAATTTTTGAAAAAAACAAATTATACAGCATCAAATGTGTTATAATCTTACATATATTATTTTTCTAAAAGAATATGAGAGATAATTTAATTTATTCGTATTCTGATTTTTTAATTTATAGGTAGGTGAAGAGGGAGAAAAAATCGCAAGAAAGAAAAGAGAGTGAGACCCACGACCATCTGAAACTCTGTTGGCGAGATCTTAAAACAAACGGCTTAAATGAAAACGACATATTTATAAGGAGGGACGTCTGTATTGTTGAAGTGGATGTTGCTGTGAGCCAATCGAACTCTTGCTAACAGTGAACTGATAAGATTAGTTATTTAATACCCCTTTAATTCTAAATATAAAATTTATTTTGTAATGAAAATATTATGTAAATAAGGGTGCAATATCAAGGAACTTGCCCTTCACTGGCACTTGATGCACTTGATGGAGAATCGCCATGCGGATTTCCCCAAACACTAGTGATTATTACTTCTGATTTTTAATATAAGACTTTATTTGATTTTTGTTTTGGTCATAAATATAAAATCTCAATTCATTTTGTCTTTCATATTTATATAATGTTTTCTAAGGTAGTCTTTATAATAATAGTAATTGTAGCCAATACACTTGATTAACGAGGATATTTTAGAAAAAAACATATATTTATTACAAATAACTAACTTAACTTATTTTCTTAATCTATTTATGGGGTGTTTGAGTAGAAACAAAATTATAGTTATAAAAGTGCTTTTATAGTATACAAAGTAAATATGTGGAGAAGTTTGTCTTGATTTACGAAAAAATGCTTTTTAAAAGCACTTCTTAAGTAATCCAAACACCTTCTAAAATTAGTTAACTAGTTTTTATATTTAGAATCCGTAGATAGTATTATCTTGCTATAACAGTCAGGATTTCATGATTGTTTGGGCAATATAATGCAATACAAACAAGGCAGCTTCTTGCTGCAGGGATCATGAAGAAGGCATTCAATCTAAAGATTCTTGAGTCTAGTGGCATTTATCACTTTTGGTGAGGAAGGCTGCAGGATCAAACCCGTGCTCAATGTGTGTGTGTGTTGATGTCTGCGTTTCATTTGTCCATTCTGAGAAAACAAGGCGTTACATCATATGCTTATAAGGAGAGGCGTGTAAAATGATTCTACATTTCTCTCTGTCTCGTCTTAGCAACAGCCAAGTATTATATTGTGTCACCCCAAATACCCTCTTAGACAAACAGAAATATGAATGATATTTGTGCGTCAATGGAGATTTCATTGACGAACTTCTTGGGAAGTAATTGATTGGTAGATATGTCTTCTGGCAAAGCTTCCATCTTTTGCTAATTTGCTAAAGTGGGGTTTGGTTGTTCCCTGGTTAAATTCGGCCGATTGCCCATTTTCTTTCTGTAATATTCATTTGATGCACGATAGTCTTATGATTATTGTACTTGTTTCTCACATGCATCACTGATTTGTCAATTCTCCTTTCTCAAAGCGTACGTTTTGGATATTTCCTGTGGAAAAGGAGGTGGTTTTAGATACATATAACCATCAGTTTTCGGTTTCGGTTTCAAGCCTTTTTCACGCATCAAAGTTGCCTGTTACGGATTTTTATTATTTTAGTCATTTATTGCAATCATGCATTTTAAATTTTTTTTATATATTTAAGACCCAAAAAAAGTTCTTTTTTATATTTGCTATTTTTAATAGATGCTTTTTGTTTGATTGCATGAAATAACTATGGGTAAAATGCAATTAAGCGTTGTTGTTGAATATAATAATTAATACCGATGCAACTAAGTCGAGCTCTGCTCTCGAAATCGAAATTCTCACAAATTCTCCTGGAAACATCTGGGAATGTATTTACAGGTTTTACTAAATTAACAGTTTTTTTTTTCGGTCTTCGTTTGCATATAGGATGATTGTGACATAGACAATTGTTATTGTGACGGGCGAAAGGGTTGTTATGGAAGCTCCCGCAGGTGGTTCAAACTGGCTAGGACATGGATATAATTCTTTGATTAATGAATTAAATCTTGCTTAATTTTTCTTCTTGTAAGAGAGAGTACCCTGTTTGTGCGCTGGACAAATATATGGGAAATCAATCCAGCCCTTTTTATCTTGGACCATAATCCAGGCCCAGCTGAAAGAACTTGCAATCTTTTCATTTCTTAGTGGGTTTCGTCTCTCGCTTCCGTGGGTTTTGCGCTCGGCTTCGATCTCGGGTCTACGCTTACTTGAGGAATCGGTACTTTTCGCTCCCATCCTTTGATTTGCGAAACTTTGCAGAGCCTCACTTTCTTCTTTCTAAACCGGTATATATAATTGCTGACGTGTCCCTCTTCAGTCAGTCGATCCTATGTTTGTTAGTGCTTTACAAATGCTGTCACCCTCCCCAATCTAAATTTTTTCCCCCCAAGTATAAATATCCTCCTATCGAGACAATTTCATTCGAGGCAGTACTGGATACTAAATATGGGATCTTCTTTTTATGAGGATTCAAATATTAATTTATTATATTGTGAGGAACTAACTCTTTTAAATAGACCTAACTCTAGTATGCAAATGAAATGAATGATGAGATATCACTTGGTGGGGTTTGAAAATGAGAAGTTTGGGCTTTTGGGCCTTTGCCTTACTGGCCTGATCCAACAGCAAAATGCACGGTTGAGGTGATTGCTTTTTCTCTAATTGGTTGGATAATGCTGGGATTGGGTTATGATGCCTTCATAGCTGGCACTTGATTAATAAAGTGTCCCCACTGGAAAATGCTCATTTAATTTGTGGTGAATGAAGCTGCGATCCTTCATCCTTTGGCGGCGGCTACTTTTGCTGGCTTTGAGGTCTGACATGTCTTCTTTCATTGTGGTTTGACAATTTATTAGGGTCATATATGAGAATATATATTTTAATATCCTAGAACCCCAGAGAGGATTTTAAAATTAGAGATATGCTTGCCTTCAAACTGAATCCTCTAAGTTGG